CATCATCCAACACCAAATGTGCCATCCTCTGGTACGCGACAACGATCGTCCCATATAAGGAAAGTGTTACACAATTCAACAAATCAAATCACATGGATAATGATGGCTCTCTGGATTCCCACACTTCATCGCTGCCAAGCAAACTTGGAGCAAAAGTCATGAATCTCTCACCCTCTCGTAGCTATGACTTAACAAAAACCCTAAGGTTAAGCATTGCACAGGGTGTGAATCCACATACTCGGCTAGATTACGTTCGTTGAACGGAGAGAACTGGAGAGATGCAAAGATAAAGGTATAGTGAAACAAACATGCAGCAGAAACTTCCCTTCCCTCAGTCACTCATATTCTCTTCCTTTCCCACAGTCTCTCGCCTACAGAATATAGCGTGCTTAATCGGATATATCATGGTATTGAAATTATACAACTCGTTTGTCTTTACTTGTATGTATACACCGTTGAAATCTCCCTCTGATTATCTTCTATTTGATCAGATTATATCCAATTACCAAAGCCCCCGCTTGTCGCGGAAAAAGTGTTCGGGGCTTTTTGTATTTAATCGGATATATCATGGTATTGAAATCATATATAACTCGTTTGTCTTTACTTGTATGTACATACCGTTGAAATCTTCCTCTGATTATTAATTATCTTGTATTGATCAGATCATATCCAATTACCAACCTGCCGTTTCGGGGCGCTTTGTGCTTAATTGGATATCATGGTATTGAAATCATATAATTCGTTTGTCTTGTATGTATATATCGTTGAAATCTTCCTCTGATTATTAATTATCTTCTATTTGATCAGATTATATCCAATTACCAACCTGCCGTTTCGGGGCTCTTTGCATCAGATGACAATTCACTTGTCAAATAATGCGATGAAACACTGCATGCTTAATTGGATATCATGGTATTGAAATCATATAACTCGTTTGTCTTTATATACCGTTGAAATTTCTCCCTGATTATCTTCTATTTGATCAGACTATATCCAATTACCAACCTGCCGTTTCGGGGCTCTTTGTATTTAATCGGATATATCATGGTATTGAAATCATATAACTCGTTTGTCTTTATATACCGTTGAAATCTCCCTCTGATTACCTTCTATTTGATCAGATTATATCCAATTACCAAAGCCCCCCGCTTGTCGCGGAAAAAGTTCAGGGCTCTTTGTATTTCCGCATATCAGATGACAATTGTCAAATAATGCGATAAGTTATTCTATGCAATACTTATTGTATGCAAATTGTATAGATCCATTAAGAAGAGGAGTTAAAAGAGTGAAAGTCGTAATTGAGCCATCTTTATTGAAGGGAGTATGTGAAGAAAGAAGGCATTAGGACTTGCTTCAAGAGAACGAGCCTAGCCTAAAAGCTTGCTCCTCACAAAACTACATGACTTGGCATCCGACTAATATGCAGATTATTCGTTTGGCAGTTGCATATTATTTAGATTCAACAGGCACAAGTAATGAGGGTTTAAATACTATGGCGAATCAACTACAACTCAAGCAGTGATCGCAGGGAAAAAAAGAATGTTAGAACGAAACGATTGATGAAAGTAGTGAAATGAGTTGAATGATGAGACATCTGTTAGAGCCTGCAAAATATCATTCTTAGAACTGTAAAAGATTTTCTTTATTTACAAATGAAAATAATAATAATGTATGACTTTTATGGATTTTTCGCCAGCACTAAACGTATTCTGGCTGGGAATTATGCACAAACTGATCGAACATTCATGTAACTTAGATGGTAATATATTTACTGTTACATAAATAGAGAAGATATGAAATTCGATCTCCTATATTTTCTATGACAAATTAAAATTACATCTTTTCATTGAGCATATTAAATTTTTCACTGTTTGGTCTGAAATGTTTTCCCATTCTTCAATCATATATTGTTTTAATCCACCAATGTCTTGCACGTCCGGGCAGGACTATCACTGTCGCATTGTTGTCGATAAAGGATTGTCCTGCCCATCCGGAAAAACCGCATAACACACCATGAACGTTGAATCCACCTATGTCTTGCACGTCCGGGCAGGACTATCACTGTCGCATTGTTGTCGATAAAAGATTGTCCTGCCCGTCCGGAAAAACCGCACAACACACCATGAACGTTGTTGTTGTCGTTAGACGTTGTTGATAGTGGTTGTGGTGGTAGAGGGGTGGTTGAATCCCTCAAATATTGACAGCTAACATTTTAAATTTCACTTTTTTCTGTCACTTTCCTTCAGACTTCTAACCACCCCAAGCAAATTCTACACTGCTTCACCGTCCGAATTTATGGTCCATTCCAAGAAAAACCATCCCAAATGTTCATTGAATATATCGCGTCCGCCGGGTCACTAATGTTTCTAATATTTATCCACGACGGATCCAAGAGTCTTTGATATACTTCGGCAAACTCCCCTTGGTCTTGAGGTTCATCCGTCTCCGTGGCGGGTTGGTAGGTTATTATTTTGAGCGACTGCTCGCTCCTCTTTGGCCTATACACATAACCCGGATTGTGGAATATTCGTGGCCCATCATTATAGTTTTGATAATCAATAAAGTGTCTTCATAAAACTTCCGCCACGCTAGCTGCCAGACGGTAAACGAGCTTTTCATCTTCGCTCAATCTTCCCCAGGCCTGCGGCATACGTTAAGCGCATTGTTTGCGATAAACGATGTGGTATTTTTCGCACTTGAGATGAAACAAACGATTAGTCGGTTTGAACTTGACAAGCTTATATCCATAATGTCTGTGAAGCAAAGTAAGGATGCTTTACCTTTTAAAGAAATCCACCCTTTTTTGCATGCTGCATTTTGAGGCATTATTATGCTTATGCCATCATTCCCCCACTCAACCGATGTAAGGAAAAAGCCGTCTCACTTGTAAATATCGTTTTTGTTTGTAACTTTCGAGGGCCTGCCGCTGACATGCTTACATTCAACGGCACCTGTTTCTTTGAACTTCTGAATATTTCGCTCAACAGTACGAAGAGGAAAGCCAGTTTTAGTGTTTTTTTTAGTGTTTTTTTTTTAGTGTTTTTTTTTTGTTGTTTTTTTGCCGAGTGAAATAGTTTGACGCAGAGAAAGGTCTTTTGTTTATTTATTATACGCAGTAATCGTATATAGTAGTACGAGTTACAAATCAGGAGGATGGCAGCGGAGTAGAACGTGACCTGATTCTTGCAATTACATTGGTCAAATTTGTATATCAACCAATGAAATTGTAAAAAACTACTCCGCTTTAGCCTACCCCCTCATATTAATCAATGTGTTGATAATTATGAAATTTGATTACAATAATTTGACCTCGAGCATCAATACTAACGATGAAGCAATATCAATTTATAAAAGCTTAACTATTATACGTTTACATACTTATTATTAATATGCAATAAATAAACTTTGATCATTAGACCTTCATGAACTTATCTATTGCTATATTGTGAGCTTCATCAACTTATCCAATGCACTCTTGTCCGTTTCTAATTGTGTAAGAATAACAACCGAGGACAGATCCTTGGTTTCCGTATCTTCAGTTACCTCGCCCACGCTTGCCAGTTGTTCATCCCACAGATTCCAAAGTCGTATAGATTTATTATGATTCCAGCACATTAAATAACAGTGATGTGCAGTGAACGGTTTAATTACTTTCTTATTTATTTTACTTTCTGATACATGCTGATTCTTCGATGGCAGACACTATTTGTACTATATGTGGTTGGCTCTCCCTGAAGCGGCAGAGTGGTGTGATGAACTGCGCGACGGCTGGACCAGTGCCAGTACTGATTACGATAAGATTCCTATACAAAGGATGAATCTGTATATTACTACCCTATCCTCCAGTAGATATCTGCACGTCTTGAAGGCTTTACTTTGGAGGTTGGATCAAAGGGGAAAACTGGTTGTGTGACTGGAAGTAAGTGGAAATTCGGAATATGATACATTATACGTGTCCCATGAGATGTAATAGAGATTGGTACGGATACCATTTCTTCGATAGACTGCTTCAAGAAATTACTATTGAGGATTATTTTTCATCTCCCGATCGCCTTGTTCTCGTAGTTGCGTAAATTATAGAATTTTGACAGACAGGTTTCGTAATAGTAGTGAACTGTCCAGAAATCTTTCTTCAAAAAAGTCCACGCGCAGTATTACTAGGAATAGATGAAGCGCTCTGGGAATGTGGCCGCTTAGAGTCGTAATTTGTGGTAGCAGTAATAAGTTACATTAAGTATTGTCATAAGCATTATATCCTGAATATATAAACTGTTAACAACAAAACAATTGTTGTAACATGCATCGATGTTTGCGTGTTGTCATGTGTGGCGCCGTTAGCAGTAGCTTCGTCGTGGTCTGATTGATATTAATATGTTAGACTTTTCATAAGCATACTTAAACTCTCGGTCCTCTGTTTCTAATATTATGAAATACAGTACCAGATTGTGTTGTTAGTGGATGTCACTAACAAACCAGTGATAAGTAATAAAGGTCATACTTACTAGACTCCTATTATCCCTTGGGCAACTTAATGCCCATTATTGACCTCTTCTCCGCCGAGCTCTCGTTCCTGCGATTGCTCTCAGGTAGAATAAATTATTATATCATCTACAAATTGTCCTTTGTCTTTGTTCTCTCTATCCAAGTATTCTTAATTATATTTTTCCGACATCAGATTTAAATCCTGCATCGTCCCTGACCGTATTTCGATCATTCCATTTCTTAATTCATTTCCCAAAGCCCATAAGTTTTTCCCAGAAAGCTCACTATTTTCTTGATCTTTTCGTCTCCCACCCACAAATTTAATTTCATATCCTCGAATTCTTCCTCATCGTATATCCATAACTTTTGAGGATTAAATCCTTCCAATGGTCTCATCTACGTTGTCGATGAAACCCTGTATTGCAAGGAGCGGTTGAGTGCACGTAGTGTAGAAGCTTCTTTTAAGTAAGTTTCCAAGCAGAATGACCAGAGGATAAGCAGAAACCCAGCCGGCAGACTTATAGAGAGGCGGAAGGTGGTGGTGAGGGAGTAGGGTGCGAGGCGGGTTGCTTGCAATGGGTTGAGCGTGGGGGTACCAGAGGAGTTCGAGCTATTAAAGGGCGTGAGGAAATCATAGAATAGAATGTCATTATTGTAATGATAAAGTACACTTTTTGTGAAAATATGTGATATATGTTGTTTCCTGTTTCCCTGTAATTCCTTTTCTTACCTTTGATCGCCTGCCATATCTCATAGTCGAGTTGTAAGCCTATCTCAGCATCGTGCCTAAACACAATCTGCGGCTCCTCTGGTGTATCCTTTTCCACTAACAAGTGTGTATTGTTCACCAACTTCGCCACAGTAATAGGGATAATGAAATATTTGTAATCGTTGTCGTAAAGATCGAGTTACTTATTTTTCCCCGCACTCTCTAATTATTTCAACTAACTTCTGACCACGTTGAATGGCAGCGTTACGACCTCCGTTCTGGAATTTTTGTAGACATAAACCATGTAATGAACTGTTTGTTACGACCCTTAATTCAGATGATATGGCTCATCTTTTTCTCTTGCCCTTCCCTTTTCCCTTCCCTTTTCCCTTCCCTTTTCCCTTCCCTTTTTCCCACCATTTTCCCTTTCCTCTTCTAACTTACCTCATCATTGATAACATATAGATTCTTGTCATAATACCTATTGATCCATGGTCCAACATTTGGGTGAACTTGTTAAACTCTTCTGAATGGAAAAAAATCCGACTCGTTCCAATCTGAAATCATGCTTCAAGTACTCATTGGTATTCTCAAATACTATTGGTTGTGAATTTGAGATTTTGTAGCGCTTGACCACGCGGTAGAGAATTAAGTCATTTGTATGGTGTTGGTGGGTGTGAGTTTCTAGAGCTATCGGAACAGAAAATGTCTGTATTAGTATAGGTATCAGCTTATGAGTGGAATATTTATCCCCTTACTCCTACAACTCCTCCCACAAAGCGTTACCTCTTTCACTATACCAAATTTACCAAATTAAGTAAAATGTGACGAATTTCATCCTCATTGGATAATAAACTGCACGTGAATGAGAAACAATCCACAATTATTATTGCGGTATGAACAGAATGAGACCATATCATATAGACGCTATGACAAATAGAAGAATGAATGCATTTCTGCTACAAGATACGTTGACTATGCCCAGAGCGTCATCGATATCCGAACAGCAATTCACAGACGCGTATATGAATGTTTCTTGATTCCCTAATTTTGAATACATTCCTCGTTTTTGTCTATGCCATCTCTTACCATATATATCCTGTGTCTTGCATATTTCGAAACAATATTTCGTTAATACTGCCTAATGACTGCAGCGCCTATTTATTCGTCTAGTATTTCTAGAAAATTGAGGTGTTCCATTGAATTGTAAAGTCATTCGATCAACGTGTTACAGTAATGATTTGTATTAGATTTATGAATGGCTGTTTGAACGGATCCTGCCTTATTTGTAAAATGGAAATAATGCTCAATGACTCAATATTAATTTATGTTTGAATAGAATCTACATCAATCTGAGATATTTGGTTTATGTTCGCCAATAAGGACAGTGTCGAAATGGATAAAATATTTACTATTGTGGTATCCAGTAATGCAAAAGAGCGAAATGATGTACCTACTTATATGCTTTTCTAGAACCATATTCAACATTTTAGACAAAATCCGGGACATAGTGTTCAGAAAAGTGAGTTAATGCAATCGTTCCTCGCGATGGTTAATGCAATTCGTATAGATAATAAAAATTCTGCAAGAGACGATTTATCAAAAGTCTCATCTTGACAGACATAATAACAAAGGCTCAGCGGCAGGCAAAATTCTCTTCCTTTGTTTAGGTACTCCACTCCTCCTTGAGCAGGGGTAACTGACTGATGTCCGTTCAAGGAATATTCTGCTGACATTGTGGCGTTGCAGGTGCCAGTTTATCGTATCGATCCTGAAATGATTGTGACACCATCGCATCGGAGTTGAGAAGAAAGACAAGAGGGAATTATGGACCGGCAGAGTTTGTGATAACTTCTATCAATGAGACGAATTGTTATAATTATTGAACCGCCATTCAAGGCGAGAATGTTAGTAACAGTATTGAACTTAAATAAACTCGGCCGCAATTACCTGGATTGCAAATCTTCAACAGAAAGCTCCCCAAAACATCCGAGTTTTCGTTCCCACTGAAAATAACGTATCGAAGATGAGAGCGTACGCAGTAGTGTGAACGTTGACGCATAATTGGAAACCACGAATGAAATCTGTATTCGTTGCTTTTTCTTAAACCACGATGCAGAATGCAAGAACGCTGTTACAACAATGGTTGATTTAATCGTGAATTGATTGAAATCGAATATTTGCAAATGCTAACCTTGGCG